TCAATTTGTATTTATTTTTTACGATTTATTTAGATAGTTCGGTACTTGGATTAATTTGACTGGATTAAACAGGCTTTATTTGCCCGAAGGACGAATTTTAGTGGTATTTGTGAAAAGTTTTTACTTTGTATGAACAAGATTGAGTTTGTCATAATGCGCTAAATGTTAGTAATGGCATGGATTGAGTGTAGAATTAATAAAATTGTAAGATTATATTCTGTGGCTCACATGTCCATTGAGCGTTAGCCGATTAACTTTTTTTTCCTCACCCAAGAATTTATTGTAGCTTGATAGTGGTTTTGATGTTAGTAGTTGAGGCGGACTACTTTTCAATAAAACTTGTAAAACACTTCATAATCTATGCTTTTCCCCCCTTTAGTTTGATAATTATTTATCCTGTGAAGGATCTCGAATGGTTAAAGGTGGCTGTCTTGAGTATGAATGCTCCGTTTCTTTAAATACTTGAGTCCGCCTGAGGATGATTTTCCTGATCTATGATCTGATCCGGTCCTTTCCTTGTCTGCAGATTGCTGTCCGTTGCTTTATCTGAATCACCCAATGGCTCTCTCAATGTAGTGATCTGATATTTCTCGCTCTCCTTAGTTCTGCGTTCTAATAAATCACTGCCGTTCTCTGTTCTGTTTTCTGGTATTGTTGGTGGCAGGCAGATTAGATCCTTGTTTGTTGACTGATGATCGTATCAGATATTTATCTGGTTCAATCACAATCGGCTTCTGAGTTTGGCGGTCAATTGAGAGTGACTGAAAGGCTCTCTTCTTTTGCCATCTCTGTTGCCGGCTGTGAGAACCACCGTGGGTCTTTCTCTTCTGTTTTTGTCTTGTAACTTGGATAGCCCTGTTCAGACCCAAATGGCTGTGGCACTTTTCAAGAGTCCGTTTGGTAACAGGGAGTACCATGGAACCAATAGGACTGAAGGGAAACCTGCAGGAAGGAGACGTGTTTTTGTGCAAACCGAGACAGGTTGTGTTCTGGGAATGGAGTTAGACCGGAGCGACAATGCAAATACTGTGAAGAGGAGGTTGCAGCTTGCCCTGAATTTTCCCACTGAGGAAAGTTCTTTGACATTTGGTGATATGGTGTTGAAAAATGACCTCAGTGCCGTTCGAAATGACTCCCCGCTTCTTCTGACACGGAATGTGATGCACAGAAGCTCTTCAACTCCCTGTCTGTCTCCCACTGGTAGAGACATCCAACAGAGGGATCAGAGTGGCCCGATAGAGATACTGGGGCACTCGAATTGCTTTGCCAGGACCAAACAACTTGTTAAGGAAATTATCAAGGCAATGAAGAATGGAGTTGATCCACTCCCTGTTCATAGTGGGCTTGGAGGGGCGTATTATTTCAGAAACAGCAGAGGTGAAAATGTTGCCATCTTGAAGCCTACAGATGAAGAACCGTTTGCACCAAACAATCCCAAGGGCTTTGTTGGCAAAGCTCTTGGACAACCAGGCTTAAAACGTACTGTGAGGGTTGGGGAAACAGGATACAGAGAAGTGGCTGCTTATCTTCTTGACCACGATCATTTTGCAAATGTGCCACCCACTGCATTGGTGAAGATCACCCACTCGATCTTCAATGTTAATGATGCTGTGAATGGAAACAAGTCTCAGAGCAAGAGGCATGTCAGCAAGATTGCATCCTTTCAACAGTTCATTCCACATGATTTTGATGCCAGCGATCATGGAACCTCAAGTTTCCCCGTTTCGGCTGTGCATCGCATCGGTATATTAGACATCAGAATTCTTAACACAGATAGGCATGCAGGTAATCTTTTAGTTAGGAAGCTTGATGGTGTTGGGAGGTTTGGTCACGTGGAACTTATTCCTATTGATCATGGCCTCTGCTTGCCGGAAAGTTTGGAAGATCCGTATTTTGAGTGGATTCATTGGCCTCAAGCTTCAATACCATTCTCAGATGATGAGCTAGAGTATATAGAAAATCTTGATCCTATTCAGGACTCGGAGATGCTGCGAAGAGAGCTCCCCATGATTCGTGAGGCTTGTCTACGTGTCCTGGTCCTCTGTACAATTTTTCTTAAAGAAGCTGCTGCATTTGGGCTTTGCCTTGCTGATATAGGTGAGATGATGAGTAGGGAGTTCCGCAATTGTGAGGAGGAACCTAGTGAGCTTGAGGTTATATGCATCGAGGCAAGACGGTTGATTGCCGAGGACATGACTCCTAAGGCTGAAGCTGATGTAGAGGAATTTCAGTTTAACATAGATTATGAAGATGGAGGATCTGACTTAACTACGAAATTAGCCTCTGAGGACTTCATGGCAGATACACCTTTTTGTTTGGGATTTGGAGGTGTTCATGCCTTTACTCCCCTTTCGAAGCTAGAGGAAACCATTGAAGAAGAAGAGGAAATTGAAGGAGAAGAGGTGGAAATGGAATTCAACGAGGGTCCTTCCCTTGAGAGGATCCCGACTATTTCAAAGCTATCTATGTCGCTTAAAAAAACAAACTCAAGTGAGAAGAGCAAGTTCCCCAAATTTTCTGGAGCAAAACCTGACTATGGTTATCTTGCTAGTTCATCATCGGGCCATAGGAGTGCAAACGAGCAGCTTCCTACGAGTGTGAGCTTTGTGAAGCTAGCAGAAATGAATGAGGAAGAATGGGCAATGTTTTTAGAGAAATTACAGGAGCTTTTGTACCCAGCATTTGCTAAGCGCAAGTCTGTGACCCTTGGTCAAAAGCAAAGACAGAGGCTCGGGACGTCGTGCCAGTTTTGAAAGAGTTATGACAATAATTTGCTATTGCAGTTGGGAGAATAAGATGACAGGCTTTTGAAGGATTTGTAGGGTAACTTGGTTTATGCCTTCTTGTAGAAGTTGCCCTATGTGGGAGTAGTAGTAAGATGGAGTGATGTAAATATTCTTTGGAGGCAGCCGAGGCAAAGCATTCTGTAGAATTGTTTATGTTTTTTTTCCCTTGAACATTTTAATTTGTTTCATTCTCTTATCGATGTTGAATAAATAATTTGTAGAATGACATTTTAAAGAGGAAAGTTGCGTTATTGTAAATATTGGCTGAACCAGGATATATGTGATGAGTGTGATCCATGTTTACAGTTCTGTTGCTATTTCCATTGGTTTACAGGTGCTTGCAGCTTTGCATGTCTTTAGGTGTTGTGTGATTCTTTGTATGAACAGATGCCTTGCAGCTTTGATTGATTTTTGTGTTTAGTTTGGATGTTTTAACATTTTTAGTATTTATGTTGAATTCATGTTATTCAATACGTATAATATGCAGGTATTCANTTAACATTTTTAGTATTTATGTTGAATTCATTTTATTCAATACGTATAATATACAGATATTCAACTTGTATTTAGATTGATTTAATGTGTATTTAATTTGATCACGATATAATTTATTTAACACGTTTTACAATATTTTTAATTTATATTGTTCTATTGGAATGAAACTTAATCCAACGGACCATTAAACCAACTTCAAATGATTTAAGACTTTTCAAATGATAATTTTTAATGTAACTGAAATTGGTCCAAATTGAAATAATATCAAACTTTAAAAACATTGTTAAAATTCAACAAAAAAGGTCCCAACCATTGGATCCATGAAAAAAATGTCTAAATTGAATTGGACTCAAGTCCAAATCAATCAACCTAACCCATACCAACCCGAGTTTGGTCGGTTTGGATTATGTTGGGTTGGGTTTCAACTGTGAATGTGTTGATTTCGATTTGAATTATTGCCAAATTGACTATGTGGGGTTGAGTTTGGGTTGGACTAAAAACCGATCAAATTCAACCCACGCTCTGCCCTACTCGAGTGTAACAAATGACAAAGAAGCTTCTTTGATGGTGACTCGCAAAGCAACAATAAATTCAACTATCAGGGCTCCTTATCCAATACCACACAAACTATTTGCCCTTCGATGCATTCAAGAGTCGAAGCTGTACCTTTGAGTTCGACATCTTAGGTAATCTAGATTCATGATGTTATAATGCCATTTGTATTTTGGAAATACGTTCATGAACACCATCAATATCCCAATTTGAATATTTGATGATAAATTTTCTTGATGTTATCTTGTGAATGACAGCAATCAAAAAGACGAACTGAATGTACAAATCAAGGACAGCTAAGGAGATAAGCATAATCATATTATTGTTTAGTGAAAGTCTCCATCATCAGCAGTCATATTATGTACCAAAATATTAGCTATGATATTGAGAAGATGACTATATGATAAATATAATTGGGGTCTAAAACTTGGCAGGCTAGCATGCTGACATTGATTTGTATTTTTGTATTTTACTGCAATTTGTTTTGGATTGTGACTTGCATAATGTGCGTCATAGATAGCTTCTCAAA